GGCGGTCCAGGCACGCCTGCCGTCACTCCCCTCTCTCATGCCCATGGCAGACGTGTGAGTTGACCACAGGGCTCTTCTGTTGAACTGTCCAAGAAAGGAAAAGAAAAGAAAGAAAAAAAGAAAGAAAGAAAGAAAAGAAAGAAAGAAAGAAGGAAAATGACACCATGGGACCCCTGGTAGTGTTCCCAGGATGGACAAGGCCGTTGAAGCTTGACCCCCTTGCATCTCTACTGTGAAGGGACAGAGGTGGGAGCTTTTGTCCCATGCTTTGATGTCAAACCGGAGGGGTAAGAGCTTCTTCCCACACCCCTGCCCTTTCTCCCAGCACACCAGCCTGCTGTCCCTCTCCTGCTCGGCTCAGGCCTGTCCTGAGTGCTGACAGAAACCTGGAGTCAGCTCCATTTCCCCACACCCCTGCCTCCTCCCAACGCAGCATCTGGCAGAGTAGAGGGCTGGGACCCACAGAGAACTTCAGGATCAGGCAGGGAAGGAGAGGCAGGGGTCCAACCCGTAGGGAGTTGGCTGGAAGCCTGGTGGAGCGTGGTCAGAGAGCACATGCCATCCCCAGGCGCGCTAGGTAGGTCCTAGATCCCACCACAAACGGCTGTGCTGCTGGCCAGCGCTGGCTTGGCGTAGGGGTGTGCTTTGCACAGTTTCTATTGCTTTTAGGAATATAAACCTCTTCTCTACACCCACCTGATATTTCCAAACTTTCATATAAATGATGTAAAGTGAGGTCCTATAACACCCTTGGCTGGAGAGAGAACAGCTGCTGCCATTGCTGTATGGACAGAGGGCAGCATGTGCAGAGGGAGGAACTGTGGGGGAGCATGAGTTGCAGATAAAGGAACACGCCAAATCTGTTTGGAGGACGCCAGAACAAGACGTGGCCCGAGAGTCAAGAGAACAGATGGATGCTGGTGGAAGGGAGGGAAGAAATTGACACCTCTTGTGGACATGTTTGGTCCCCTCCTTTTGTTAGATGTGGCAGGTGTAAGTATCTGCAAAAGACTCCAAAAATATTTTAAGGTCATTTATTATCACATATAGCATATAGCAAAGAGCCCAAAGACAGGGCAGCCCCAGATGCTCAAGGACACCTCTGAGAACCCAGATTGTTCCCATGCTTCTGTCAAAACATCCTCAGTAGTCTCTCTGCTTGACCTCGGGGGACTGTCCTCATGGCCAAAGAGAGCTGCACATCTGTGTCACATCTGGACACACCAGCTTGCAAGAAGAGGAGTCATCATTCCAGCACTTCTGCTTTCATAGGGGAAGGGAACTTGCCAGAATCCCCCGGAAGACTCCCTCAGACCCCACTGCCCATGGGGGGTCATATGTGTGCCCTTTACTAATCACTGGCCAGGAAAACACACTTCATTATTGGCTTATACCAGAGGCTCTCACCCCGGGGATGTATTAGAGTCACTTGGAGAACTTGAAGAAGACACATTAGTGCCCAAGCTCAACCTCAACACATAGACCCCAAAGCTCAGGATTGGTGATACTGTTTCACTGCGCACTGGTCATGGGTAATAAACACACCAACCTGGTTGGGGTTTGGTAATGAAGGAGCCATTTTGGCTTAGGGATGGAGGCAAATGGGAAGTCCCTGCACTTTCCACTTAATTTTGCTGTGACCTTACAAGTGCTCTAAAAAAATAAAGTCTGTGTTTTCAAAAAATTTAAAACTCTGAAACATAGGCACTTGTGTTCTGTTATTCACTAAAATTACGGTAACAATAGAGTGTCACCAGGTATGGAACTATTGATTTAGACTATAATTCAATATACATATAAGTAAACTATAAGTCAATCTGACCTAGGAACACTGACCTTTCCTGGAGTTGAATATCTGGACTAAATGGGTGTTCTGTGAGCAAGGAGGGAGGGATGAACTTGGCACTAATGGTAAAGCACCTGCCACATCGTGAAGACCTCATGGTCAGCCCCACCAACCCAAGTGACTGCAGAGAGGTTCCAGGAAGAGGCAAGTCAGAGACAAGGCCTCCTCTGTCGACCCCAGGGTGATCCTGCCCGGTGGGGGTGGCATCCGGCCACCACAGGCTTCTGGGATGTGGGGTGGTGGACTAGAGACTATGAGGGACCGAGAAGGGACTCTGTTGGTGACCTGGGAGCCCTGCAGGGGAGGGAGGGGTGGCCTGCACGACAGTGGGAGGAGAAACAGGCACTGCCAGTCAGGTCAGATCCAGGGGCCCGTGCAGGGGTTCCTCATTTTCCGTTCCCTCAGTCAGTTCCTGGAGTACTGTGTCCAAATGCTAGAGATTCCTCATCTACTCACACTGCCCTCTGCCAGGTATGTTTCTCATCCGGTAGTTCTGTTTCTTGTCTGTTTCCTTCCACGAGGCAAAGACATTTGCTTCTCAACAAAAACCCAAACTTCTTCACATATCCCAGCTTGTTTTCAGCTCAGAGGGGTCAAGTGAGTGGTCCTGCCAATGGATCTCCCTCCCCCTGCTAGGGTGAACCCCCAATGCCTGCATGGAGGTGGTGGGGTCCCTGTTAGTGACTGTGTCTGCTGGACTTTGTGGAGCAGGGGCCCCCAACCTCCTTCTGCCTTCTCCACTGATGTTCGAGGTTAACCTGTTACCACCCACGAGCTCAGAAATTTCTGTTTCTTCCACCAACATCCCACCAACGGAACAGACCACTTAATGTTTATTGAACAAGCAAGTAAATGAACAAACATTTACTCTGTTTTATGTTTTTTAAAAATGTTTATAATTTGAAAGAGATTAGGACATCTTTTTTTTTTTAATTTGAGAATGAAAACATTAGATAGAAGCTTTCAGACAATGGAACTGAAGAATGACTTGTTAAAGGTGAAGCCACTGGGCCATGAATTGGGAGTCCAGCCTGATGTGTAAGCTATCCAGAAACAGCCAGAAGTGTCTAGAAATGTCTCCTGTGTTTCCTGGCAATGTACAAGTGATAATGATTCTTGGCCACTTATGTTTGAGACAATGGCATTTGTTTGGGTCACAGTTGAGTAACTTTTTTTTCTCAATGCATTCTTTATAAAGAAAAATAAAGCAGGGGAAAGGGGGAAAAACATATTGAACCAATCATACTGTTGGGGCCAAGTTTTTTTTCAATTGTTTCTTTTTAGTTTAAATATTCTTTGGAAATAGGAGGAGCCCAGAACAGAGCAGATTTGGGAAATTTGTAACTAAAACACATTGTAAGTGCTGTAACAATCAGCAAACCAGAGAGGGAGGAGAGCTCAAAGAAAAGAAGGACAGGAGAAGATGGTGATCGTTTTAACCCATGTGCCTTTGCGTTCTTTCCTCCGCGACAATACAGAGCAAGGCTTTGGAACCCTGAACCCTCTCTTCTCCAAGCTGGCTGTTTCCAGCTCTCTCAATGGCCCTTGACGCAAGGGTTTTGAGAACAGACTCAAGATGCCGCTGAGGGGACACTTCCGTGAGGCCATGAAAGCACAGATGCCCTGCAAGGGGGTGCCCACAGCGGGCAAAGTGGTGCCAAGTGGCATAGCCTCCTGAACCTCAGTTTTCTGACCTGTAAATGGGTTCCCAGCCCTAACTGCACAGTTATCGGCAGGTGGGCTGACGGAGACAAAAGTCAGTGCTTATTACTTACTGAGGACAGATGCCAGTAAACAGCTAGGCCAATCAAGGTGAGGACAAGTGATAAATAGGCTTTGGGGAGAAGCAGAGAGGGGTAAGTGACAGAAACTGAGGAGAAAGGACTGGAGAGGTGAAGTTTGAGGCGTCAGCCATGAAAAGATCTCGGAGGGCATCCCCCGCTTGAGGAAAGGAAACTTCAGGGGCCTGTGTGTGTTGAAAAGGGAGTTGGTGGTATGGGCTGAGTTTGAGTAGGGGAGGACCCACGTCACACACCTTGCAGGGCAGTTTCTGGACTTGAGGGTTTATATTCTCAGCACAGCCAGAATTCCTGGGAAGATTCACAGCAGGGGGGTGGGGGGGTGGAGAACCATTAAAACCACAGTTTTCTAACCCAGAAAACCTCTCCATAAGTAATAGAGAATGAAAGTAACTTTGTCTCTGAAGTAAGCCAGGATGTCAGGCACGTCCCTGGCGATCTGCTAAGAGATTGCAAAATCAGAAAGCAACCTTAGCCCTGGCACAGCCAGGTACACACCCTCACACACATGTTTGTAGGACAAACAGCAGCTCGCCCTCCAGCACGACGGCGGCGCGGCTCTCACACACACAACACCCTGCTTTCCCTGGCAAAGCGCGGTGTTAGCTAACAAGCTGCACCCAGGGCAAAAACAAACTTCTGTGTTTATGGTAGGAGACCAGCTGCCGGCAACGAGGCCTGGGGGCGGCTCCGCCCTGCCCCAGGCGGACCATAGGGGGCGCTGTCTCCCTGGATGTTACCCTTCAAAGCAGTGACCCAGGTCCTAGTTTGCCAGATGGAAGAAGAGCTTATTTCCTTTTTAAAAAAGAGCTTTACACACATCAGAGACAGAGGAAGAACATACAGTGACAAATGTCCTGAAGAGTTCAAAGAGAAGGGAAGCGAAAGGAGTCTCTTTACTTTTGGCAGGGAGAATTCAGCCTCTTATTTGCCCTTAAGGGACATGGCCTGAATTTTGTTTTAGGAAATACCTGGGTGCTCAGGAGCCAGAACAGAAGAAAGGAGGAGGCTGGGGAAGCTGTGCAGGCGCTAGGGCATGGGAGGGAGCCCAACCCCGGAGGTGGTGAGGGCGAGTGGAAGCTGCGTCTCCCGCAGGGCCACCCATCCTCCTGCCAAGTTGACTTGTTTCCACAGATGCATGACAGGACAGGTGGCTGGGCTTGCTCCGAATCCCCCCTGGGGCAGAGCAGGCAGGCCAGCAAGCCTCCGGGGACTTGGCTTGAACAGCTCCCTGCAGGAGGCAGCCGCCAGGGGAGGATGGTGTGGAAGGGAGGCCAGGGGTCTGCTTAGGTGCAGGGCTGCCAAAGGAACATGCTGGAGTGAGTCCTTCAGTTGGAGAATTTTATTGTCACTTTGTGTCTAGAAAGGAGGTGGGCACCTGGAGAGGTGAGGCCCTGGGGCAGAATGTGGTTTGGCCCAGGCAGTGGCCCCCGAAAGAGCTGCTGGGGTGTCCAGGAGCCACTCTCTGACCGGCTGGAGAGCAGGGTGAGGACACAGCCCGGGAGGCCCTGGGGTGCAGCTGTCTCTTCAGCGGTGGGTTGTCTGTGAGGAGGACAGGAGGAGAGACAGTGGGCCTCTGTCCTGCACCAGCCCCCAGGGACTCCCAGCAGCCGCCTCCTCCATGGCCCCCATTCTCACCTTGGCTGCGCTCGGTGGGTATCTGGCTCTGAGGGTCTCATCGCTCTGCAGAGCCCTCACCAGGCAAGAGCGCCGGTGAGAAAATGTCTCGAAGCTCTTCTTGCCATGGTAGGCCCCCATACCACTGCTTCCTGCAGGGAGGAGCCGGCTCAGGGCCCAGGCCACCCCAGGCCACCCCAGACCCACAGGTCCTGCCTACAACGCACTCCTCTCACCTCCCAGCTGTCCCAACCAGGGACAATAGAGACAGTGCCCAGCGTAAACCCAGCCACAACACAAAGTGGCGGCATGACCCCTGCCCATGCCGCCCTCCTCAGGGCCTCTATGAATCAGGCCCAGTGCGCTGAGTGACCTCAATGACCCCTGGGAGGCTCAAGGTGAAACATGACTGGTGGGTGTGCTGGCGGAGGCCAGAGGCCCACACAAGAGGTGAGCGGGAATTTCCCAGGTAGGATTTGCCCCACCAGAGGACACCTGAGGGGACCAGGGAGGTGGTGAAATTAGCCCCAACTCACCCACGCCACCGAAAGGCAGAGAGTGCACAGTGATATGGACGATGACGTCATTGGCTGTCACCCCGCCACTTGATGTCTCTGCAATCATCTTCTTAATCACCTGCAATAGTGGCAGCCCTCAACACCCCAGCCTTCCCCAGGTGTCCCTCCCACGCTGTCGGGGTATGTCTGCGAGCCACGGAGGAGAGCTGGTGGGTACAGAGCCCAGGCCTACACCTGCTGCCCCTGAGCCCTGGCCAGGGTCTCCTGCTCTCCCACACACTGTGCGGGAAGTAGTAACAGCACCTGCTCCCTAGACTGCATGCAGGGCACCGTTTCAGATACCAGCTCATTTCGTGGTCTGGGTGGGTATTTCCTCACTTCAGAGCTGAAGAGAGAGGGGCTCAGAAAGGGTAGGTGACTTGCCCGAGGTCATACAGCAGGGAAGAGGGCAGTTGGGTGCGCACCCAGGTCTGTGGCCTCAGGACCCTGTTGCAGTGAGTGCTGTGCCCCGGAGCCCTGGCTCCCCCGAAGAAACACCTGGGAGCACCTTGTCATTTAAGGAGAACACATAGAGAGCCAGGGGCTTCTCCCGCTGGTTGATGAGCTGGATGGCCTCCTCCAGGCTGTGCACACACACGATGGGCAGTATGGGCCCGAAGATCTCCTCCTGCATCACCTGGGACTTGGGATCCACGTCCGTGAGGATGGTGGGGGCTGAGCAGGAAGCAAGCCAGAGTCAGTCGGCGCTGAGACCCCTGCAGGCCCCCGAGCTCCCTCCAGCTCCTTTATAGACAAGGCCATGGAGGCTTAAAACTGCCTGCCACTTGCCCCAGGCTCCAGCCGCCATCTTGACAGGCCTTGAGGAGAACTACAAGTGAACCTGTATGGGGAGTCCAGGAGCTGCCCCTCCAGGGGCCCAGGACAGTGTCCAGCAGCGCTCAGGCTCCTCAGTAATCTGGAGGACAAGCAGGGCCCTGGGCCTGACAGCCCTCGGCCTAACTGAGCACACCCAGCCTCACGGCCACCTGTGGTCCCTGTGCCCAGCTGACAGTGGCACAGGGAGGAGATGAAGCTACACTCTCAGCTTGTGGGGAGCGGGGCTCAAGAGGGATCCCCTGTGGTCAGGCCCTGCCGCTGAGAGCCTACTCAGGCCTGCAGGGGCAAGTGACATGCCCAGGACAGGGCTGTGCCTGCCTTGTAAGTGTCTGTGCACCTTTGCCACCAAGTCTGGGGAAGTGCACATTCTCTTCAAAGGGCACACACACACCTATGTACCGGGTGGCTGCGTCCCCCGTGCCCCCAAAGGCAACTTTCTGGCCCTTCATCAGACCCATCAACCTCTGGAAGTGACGGGAGTTTATGATTCTTCCGTAATCTTGGGACTTCTGGGGATCTTCCCCATAGAACTCCTGTGGAGAAGACACGGTAGTTTCAGGAAAGGACAGGGACCCCTGTCATGGCCAGAGGCTGCACAGTCACGGTCCCGGTGTGGGGCACATGTCGCCCCGCCTGGCCAATGACACCAGGATCTACCTGCCTGCCGTGTCCGAGGTCTTCCACGGCTTTCAGGATGCACAGTGCTGTGTCCTCTGCTTAGCCCAGCAGATACTACATTAGGAACAAACCGTGTGTTCCCAGAAAGGAAAATGAAGAGAAGGGGCCCGTGGCTTAGCAGTGGCTCTTTCATGGCAGCCCTCTGATGGAGGCTTTCTCCCCAGATATTTGCTTTTAAAGCTTCTCCAAATCAGCCACAATGAATATATGAACATCGGCAATGCTAACCCAGTATTGTTTACGGTCCGTGAAGTCAGGTGTGAGGGCCGCCAGGGCTGGGCGGCCCCTCGCTCACCCCAGGAGCCCACACTCACTTTCACACACTTTTTCAGCTTCTCCACAACTTGGCTCTGGATGGAGGGGTCACAGAGGATGTAGTCTGGAGCCACGCAGGTCTGGCCACTGTTCATGAATTTCCCCCAGGCAATGCGCCTGTGAAAACAACAGATTAGATGGGAGGTTCGGGAACAGCACTGTGGCTTTCCCTTCGGCGCAAGGGCCAGGGAGGCACCCCCAGAGGCTCCCCAGCAGGCTGGAGCCTGAAGCTGTGCCCTTTGCACCAGGGGCTCCCTAGGCATCCCGTTGGCTTCCAGAATGCAGACGGAGCTGACCCACATCCATGAACAAGCACCAAAGATGGGGTGGGGGTGAGGGCTGGGGTGCCATGGCGTCACTCATCAGTGACCAGTGGGGATTTCTGGGACATATTTAGGGTGGGTGGTCTTTGTTGCCTGTCTGATCATGCCCTTAACCCTACACTGCCAGGTATCACTGCTGCTTTAGCCCCCCTCCCCCTGGAAATGGGGCGTGGAAGCTGGAAAGAGCTCTGTTAGACCTCTCCTCTGCAGCTGCCTTCCTGGATAGCCCAGGCCGCTCCTGTGAACACGTGGTTCCACCTCCCGCCTGGCTCCCACCCCAGATTGCAAGGCTCCACGAGGGCAGGGCAATGTCTGTGTGCCCAAGAGGAGAATGCTGACGTGTGGTCTGTGTGTGCTGGGAGGCAGCTACGATGGCAGCTCTGGGGCAGACGAGCCCAGAGCCGCCTCACCTGCAGGCAATGTCCAGATCACAGTCCTTGTCCACGTAGCAGGGGCTCTTTCCCCCCAGCTCCAGCGTGACGGGGGTCAGGTGCTTGGCTGCGGCTGTCATGACAATCTTTCCCACATTGCTGCTCCCCGTGTACAGAATATGGTCGAATCTTTCCTTGAGCAGCTCTGTGGTCTCAGGGACACCCCCATTGATCACTGGGTACAGATCCTTCCATGCAAAGAGAGAAGCGAGTCTCAGAAACAAGCCCTCTCCACCTTTCCTGGCCAGCCATTGACAAATAGGCCCCTCTCCTGGCTCAGGGGCTCCATTCAACCCAGTGGCAGAGAGCAGCTACCCGTTGCTTGACCCCTTGCTGCAAGAATCCACCATTTCCCAACCCCCCACAAGAGAAAGACCTGGCCTTACCAAGGTTCTCCTTGAGCCCTGAGGAGCAGCTCACCTTGTCCAGGTACTGAGGAACGATGGTGGCCAGCAGTTTCGCCGTGTTCTCACTCAGCTCCGAGGGCTTGATGACCACAGCGTTCCCTGCACAGCGCAGTCAGGGTTACACCAAGTTCCCCACCCAAGCCAGGGACCTCCCAGTGAATTTGTGAGAATTTCCCCATCTTCTGCATCCTCAGGGGAACGGACAGAGTTTCAGGCACACAGCACACAGGACATGCTGCAGAAAATGCACCACCAGTCCCTCTGTAGTTACTAAGATGTGAGGGAAGAGGAAAAAGAAGGGGAGAGAGGCCCTCCCTGTTGGCACAGCGGGTTAAGCACAGCATGCCCTAATGATGCTAAAGTCACTTCAGCATGAGTTCGATCCCCACCTGCCCTGTAGCTGACCAACATGGCGTGGCAGACTTCTCCTGACCCGCCCACTGCTCCCCTCAGCAGTGTACTTCGTTAGTCAGCTGTTCTGCTCCCCACTCTGTCTTTGGTGAATCCTCTCACCCCAGTTCTGTATGCATAAATAAATAAATCTTTAAAAAAAAAAAAAAAAAGAAGAAGAAGGGGTGAGAACTGGCCAGGGCCTGGCAGGAGAGCAGAGCGGGCTCCAACTGGCTAGCAAGGCTTGATGCATCACCGCTGAGAGCAGCCCGGTCCCCGCACACTCAGGCAGCAAGGCACAGGTTGTGGGAACATGTAAGTCAGTCTGGGCCTCGGTGCCAGGAGACCTGGCTAAACAGACTGGTCCTTGAAGCCTCCTGGGAGACCAAATCCATCAGGGTTACCTGGCAGGCCCATCTCCCTCAGGCCTGAGCTTCTGGGACCCCATTCCTTAGTGAGGGACAGGGATCCCACACAATTCCCCTTCTTAGACCAGAGTCCATTACCTGCTGCAATGGCACCCACCATGGGCTGGATGGTGAGGGTGAAGGGATAGTTCCAGGCGCCAATGACGAGGACCACACCCAGGGGCTCGGAGTGGATATAGGGCTCATCCTGCTGGGTCTGGGAAGCCTTCTCCATGGGCTCATCCTCAGCCCACTCAGGGAGCTTCTTGATCGCATAGTCGATCTCCTCCAGGACATAGACCACCTCCCCGTAGAAGGCATTCCATTCATTCTACGGTGAGAGGTATCGTGTGAACTCACTGACCCAGGAGGGAGGCCACACTACCCGCACCCGAAGAAGAAAGTCACCATGTGTAGAAACTCCTGGCTCTGCTCCAAGCTTTGGGACCCTGAATGTGCTTCCTCCCTTCTTCTGACCTCAGTCTTGCGATATGAACGTGGGAGTAGGTCCTGTACCTCACAGGGCGGGTGCATGGTTGCTGGGCAGAGCCTGGCATGTCAGCTCCCTGATGGAGGCTAGCAGGACTGCTTACCACAGGCTCCCCAGACTCGTGGGCTGGGCGGGAAGAAGCACTGGCAGGACACAACGGGGAGCAGCCACTGTGGTAGCGAGTCTTCAAGGGCCCCTCTCTGCCAGCGCTGAAAGCCCCAGCAGTTTGAACACGTCAAGGCTGAGGTTCCTGAGGGGGCCCTGGGGGTTTGGGGGATGGTGGCCACGGAGCCAGGCCTGCACTGCAGGTGCAGATTTAACAGTCATTGGCGAGCACAAGTGGGAGGACCATCCCGGGAGTCCCGCTGGGAAGACAGAAATTAAAGCGAGACTGAATCCCTCACAGAGCCCTAAGGAGACCCCTTGAAGAAGGGGAGAGAATTAGGACGACCTCCAGAGCCTTAGCTGGGAGGAGGAGGAGCCGGACCGCCAGAGCAAGTGCTCTTGGGTCTGTGGGAGCCGGCAAAGAGGATGGGGCGCCAGATTCACACAGCAGGACGCCCCAATTCGGCTGTGGCGAGTCCAACAGAAACTGTGACGTCAACAGAGGGGTTTTCCTCTTGTGGTTTTTTCTTTTCGAGAGAAATTTTGTTAATTCTATTGGTATAAACTGAAAAACAGGGGCTGGGTTCCACAGTTCCTCTGTTCCAGGCAAATAGACGTCTAGAACAGGTCCCGATGACTTGGGGGACAGCAAGAGGACTTGGGGACTCGAGGCGTGGGGGTTGGCTCAGCGCGGCAGCCTGCCCGGGGAGTCCCCGTGGGAATACTTAGAAATCAAAAGGAGACTGACACCCGGCAAAGCGGGGAGGCTCTGAGGGGCCACGCTGCGCGGGACGGGGTGTGGGGGGCCCGGCGGCCCTGCAGAGGCTGAGCGCTGAGGCTGAGGACAGCAAGCATCCACGGCTTTGACATTGACGGCTGTAACGGGAGCCTCCTGTCCCCCCCAGGGTGGAAAGGGACGTGAAGCCCGGAGCTAGGGGCAGACAAACTGAGGGAAGGCGTGGCCAGCCCCTGGCTGGCGGTCGAGGGGAAGGTAACGAGACCCACCAGAGCACCCCATCTTTGCAACAGAAAGGGCACTTGCCCCTCTCGTCAGAGTCCTGACAGAGTGTTTGAGACTCGGTGCTTTTGGGTAGAGTTGGTGCCCAGATGTCCCAAATGCAAGCAGCGACTGCCCCCGTGCAGCCCCATCTTTGCCTCCTCACTCTGAACCCGGGATTGCTGCTGTGGCCTCCCGGCCGGCCGCGCGGCGGGGACCCACCTTGTGAAGGTCTGCCTGCAGCGCCCGGGTAATGTCCTTCTCGCGCTCCTTGATCATGCTCCGCAGCGCCTCCAGCTGCTGAATCCGGAACTGCAGCGGGCGAGTCTTGCCGGATTTGAAGGCATCTCTGGCCCGCTGCACGACCTCACAGATTTTGCTCATGGTTCCTGGGGAGAAACGCACCTTGGAGCGGGGAAAGAGGAGGGCACTTTCCCTGCTCCGTCTGGGACCTGGGCGCCGCGGGAACGGTACCCCAGCCGACAGCTGCTCCCCGCCCGCGTATGGTATGGAAAGAGGAAGCTCTCCCTAGGAGCGCGGGGACAAACTATTCATTTGCCTTCTGGATGCTCAAACCCAACACTTTTGAGACCCTTCTGGAATCACCATACGCCACTAAGCAGATGAGAAACTTATCTGCAGTAAGGGCCAGGAAGCAGACATGCCATCCTAAGTGGAATCGCCCTGCTCATGGCAGTGAACCGGGTTGTGTTCAAGTCCCACTCCTGCCTCTACCTGCTTACAAAGCTGGTGACACATCCAGGCAAATTCCAAGAACTCTGCACACCCAGCCTGGCTACTTTCTAGATTAGATTGGAAGGAGCAGGTAGTGTTTCCACCATCAAGCTGATGGCAGAAACCAAGTACCCTGTTGTTGGCCTGCCACTGTTCTGAAAAGCAGGTGTTGTTTGGCAGACAGAGCAATGCTTGGCGGTTAAACCAGTGTGTGTCGTATCAGAAACCAGAAGCCAGAGCAGAAGCCAGCTGAGCTTTAGAGTGTCACACAGAAGTACGGGGGGATTCTTGCTACTGGTACAATAAACTACACACACTGGGATGGCTGTTCTTGGGCCATATTGGTTCCATCCAGCAAAAACCTTTAAAACATATTTCTCTGTGCCATAGCAGGTCTGCACTCAGGAGCTTATAGAAATGACAGCATTCCTAAATATCCATGAATTAGAAAGCTCATCGCAGGAATGCTGGGAACATCCTAAATGTCCCTTGGCAGGGCACGTCTCAGTGAACTGTGCTGCACCTGTGTGATGGGTGAATGTGCAGACCAGGAGAGAACACACCTTTACAGGGACTCTGGGCCGGGTGTGTCCTGGCACCCAGACAGAGAGAAGATGGAACAACAGGCATCTGGGCCAGTGTGGTCTGTGCATGTGCGTGTGTGTGTTTGCATTTTCGAGACCAGACAAGGACAGCCCCAGCATGGTCACCTTGGTGGGCATGGGATTACCAGTGACCTGACTTTTTCAGTGAACTCTCAGTTTTCAAATGTTTGTTAAGTTGTTTAGTAGGTTATACAAGCTCATGGCAGAAAATTTAAAACCAACACAAGAGAGCAAGGAGAAAAATAAGTCTCCCTGTGCTTTTCCCTCAGCACTTCCACACTGCCCTCCCAGAGAGCTTTGATCCAGTTTTAGACATTTCATGCCTTCTAATATCAGAGCAAAATATAAGGCTATTTCCATTTTACCAAAATATATATGCATATATACTCCACACATATAGTTATTTTAATAAATGACATGGCTTAAGTAGTAAGTTGTATGGTATATAAAATTATTTAATATGGGCTCTCCCTAGGGATGCAGTGGGTTAAAGCACAGCTCTCTGAAGCTCTTCAAAGCCACTGCAGCACAAGTTCCATCCCCAGCCAGGGAGCTGACCCACATGCTCAGCAGAACTCTCCTTTCTCACCTGCTTCTCCCCTCAGCAGTGTATTTCAGCCAATCTGCTTCCCACTCTGTCTCTGGTGAATCCTCTCACCTCACCTCACCCCACACCTCTGACCTGTACCCCAGTTCTGTATGCATAAGTAAATCTTTTAAAAAATTATTTAATATGTGATATTTACATATTGTATATGGGGCGAATGTGCATCTATAATATATATGACTTCTACATACATGTATGTATATACACATATTTATATGTAGTTATATACATACTTATGTGTACTTATATACATGTATTTATATGTGCTTATATAACTACATAAATAATTTTTTTAAAATGGAAATAGCCATACACACACACACACACACACACAATCTGTAATTGATTTGCATCTTACAGGACAGTAGAAGGACCCCTGTTCTTGGGACCCTGAAGCCCAGCTGGCAATGAACCTGGCCTCTCTGCTGACCACACACCCAGTGACACAGCCTTCAAGCAACATCCAGCTTCCCTCCCTGGCCTTATGTGGTCAGGCCAGAGATCGATGAGCCTCTGTGCTCCGGTCCCCAGCGCAGCCTGGCCCAGTGCAGGAGGGCCTGGTGTGAGGGAGACCCTAGTCCTCAGCCCCCACTCACTACTGCTTAGACCTGCAGAATGCCTGGGAAGGAGTGGGCCTCCTCTGTGGATGGCGTGAATGGCAGTGTCCCTTCCAGGTGATTACAGTGACGCATAGAACCAGCAGGCTCCCCAAGGGAAGCAGCTGGCTTCCCTCTCCTAGGACCAGTCCTCCCTCCCACCTCCTTGTATCGTTCCTGCCTCCCTGGGGCTTTGCCCCCAGGAGCTCCAGGGGGTGACTCTCCCTGGGCCACCCACTTTGATCTTCACAAAATTTCTGTAGGACCTTCTACAAAGAGGGATTTCTATGAGTCCATTTTATAGATGACTAAAGCGAGATCAAAAGACTTGAAATGCTGTCTTTAGTCTCACTAGGAAGCAGCCGAGCCAGAACCTGAACACCTCCCTCTTCATCTTTTAGCTCTATTGCTCACACCTGTAACTACTGGGCTCTGCTACAAGTGAGTCAAGGCTTCTCACCTGGAGTCACAACCCCAGTTCCTCAGGGCCCCGCCCTCCACCCTGCTGGGGGATGTTAGTGGGCTTGCCAATCACAGGATCCTTAGAAGATGTTGCTGGGGCGGGAGGGACCAGCCACAGAGATGACCCACCGGTGCCCCTAGTGCAGGCTCCAGCTGGATAGCCTCACCTAGGAAAAAAGGAAAGTGGGGGCGCATTACCTTAGACACAGCCTCTCCCAGCAGCAGAGGTTCTTGTGGAAGGATCATCCACCCAAGGGACACATTTAAAGACCTCCTGCTTCCTTGGCCCCACCCTGGAAATTTGCATAACAAGAAGAAACATAATTCAAATATGGAATAAATTGTATCTGGACCTTTGCTCCCTCTCAGCCCTGATTTAGGGGATTAGAACACACTGTGTCTGCTTTTGTTCAAGTCTGAAACGCAAGGATGTCTCTGTGTGTGAAGGCTTGGGGCTCCAGTTCAACTTTCTAAAGGAGTTTATGTGTGCCCTGGGCGTGGGACTATTGATTAATTCAGCTTGGCTTGAACTTCTTCCAGATTCCAGAAGGGCAATTTGACAAGATTGTTTCTCAGGTTTTACTGGTTACATAAGGTAGGCAGCAAGCAAGGTACAAATCATGATGAGTGTGCATGAAGTACCCAGAGATGCCCTGACAGCCACAGCAGCGCAGGTGTGTTCTCAGGCGCCATCACTCCCTGACTGCTGCACAACTGTCAGGGCTCATCGCGGCAGAGACCCCGGGGTCTCTGCGGGAAGCTGCAGGCCTGGGGTTTTCCTCAGAGGCTCCCGGTGTGTGGGTCTGCCCTACTGTTGGAGAGAAGAGGGCCAAGTACCCGTGAGGAGGAATCTCCCTCTGTGGTAACCTAGGAAACCAGAGAGTCTTGGGAAGGACACCTGCCCTGGTGTCCACTGGGCATGTGCCCCGTGACCCAGTGGGGCAGAGCAGAGGGAGAAGAGCACATCTGGGCACTCCTCATGCCTCTCTGCCACTTCGGCCGCCATACTCATGGTGTGAGTTTGTGACACAAGCTATGCAACGTCTATCGTCTGACAGATTCTGGGTAGATCGGGAAAAGCTCTGAAAAATCAGACTTTCCACTGCTAACTTATGTTATGACCGCCCTGTTTTGTATAATCATAATATCAAAATATTCTGAGCAACTTTCAGCTTACAATTGGACTGCCTCAGCCGCATAAGGCCTGCCTGCCCTGACAAGCAAGCACTGCACCAGGGTGAAAAATTCCCCTGAAGTCAAGTGACTTGACTACTGACTGATAAATAAAACAAAAGGGCTGTTTTTGCAAACTCTCTCTCACTGCCGGATGGATGGAGGAAAACCCAAATCTTATCATTCTATTATCTCACCTAGCCTTTTATTCAGCTTCTAAAGAATTACTCAAACTTCCTATTGTCTGACCTTTAGATGTGGAAATTCATCCAGGTTGCCTGTTTTGAAACTAGTCAAGTTTTCCACCTGCTACACCTTAAAGGAATCCACAAAAGTCTTCTGGCTAGTCTTTTAGGGTTCTACTATGTAGTCTTCATATAAGGAAATTCACCTATGTCTCCTATTCAGAGATTTGATTAGCAAGGAATTTCCTCTTCTGCCTCCCAGGATGACTCAGGTAGAAAAACAAAAACCCATTAAGTAGTAGATAAGGTTTAAGGGACTTCTATATTAATTGGCCTCCACTATGGTAATATTAGTCATAAACTTTGTGCACCTATGTACCTGTTTTTAACTTTGATTGATTTTAGAATGTTATATCTCAGCTAAAGGGCAATACGACCCTAAACTGTCCTTAGAAAAAAAAGATGATTGTAATCTCTCAGCCCAGTTCCTGTGCTGATGTCATCCCACTGCTTGCTCCTAATGTATAAAATAAACCTCTGCTGAAGGCAGAGCAGGAAGACTTGCACCCAACTCTGACTCCCGTGTCTTCCTCACCCCCCTTTCCCTTTTTTCTCCTTCTCCCCTTTTTAGGAATCTCCGCTCGCCGACGCCTTCCCACCTTAGGGTCCTGCCTGTCTTGCCTCCAGACACCTCAATAGTTGGAGCTGGTCTCCAACAAGTTTGGGATCCCCTGAACTCACCATTTGCAGGCAGCTCTCTGGTAGCCTTCAGGGGTCCTACACCCCAGTCCTTGCATGGATAGACACATACATAATTGAAAAAAATAAGAAATCCATTTAAACCTGAAATAATAAATAATGCACCAACACTGGTCATTAGTTGTGATGATGAATCACGAAAGGTATGTACAATTGGAGGATCTGAGTGCAGGCTATACAGGAACTCTTTGTACTACCTTTGCAATTTTTCTGTAAATTTAAAATGATTTAGGGAAAGGTTTATTAAAAAAAACTCACTTGGAGTTAGCACATAGGGTAAGTTGAGTTCTGGCTTCGCTGCTCTCCTGCTATAGGAACTGGGGAAGACATTGACCTCTGTGGGCCTGATTTACCCCATTGGTTAAAGCAGTTCTGCCAACATTTCAAGCAGTTATAGGACCTGATGAGGCAACTTACAGGGGAGCACTTTGAAGTGAAGGAAGCCAAATTCCTTCCGAAGCAGTCCACTGGAAAAGGGAAGCTTAACTTAGCTATGAAGCCGGGCATCATGATGGCATTTTATTCCCCAAACAAGTTTGTTTTCTGGCCATTATTTATTTGCTGGGTAGTTTTTGCTAGATCTTAACAGGGCACAGCTTCTGGCCGTCTGGGTGCAGACCCTCCAGGGACTGCATTTTCCCCGTCTCCCTGCCATCCTCCTATACGCTGATTTCCTAAGACCTCAAGGACTCCACTGCAGCCACTGAGGGCCCAGTGGATGCCGCCTCCTACGGCACAGCTGTCATCTCCCCACTGAGATGATGTCACATCCGTGACTGGCTGGGGGGTGTCGCGGTCATGTAAATTTCCGGAGAAGGCACCAATAGAGAGATGTGTTGACCTGGAGGGTAGACAGCCGGGGCATGGCTGGAGTGAGGATGATGAGGGGGAGGAGGGGCAGGAGAACTTGGCTTCACCCACCAGCCTGTCATTGCAGGCCTCAGGGTCTCCTAGGTTTTCTCTGACTCCTGCAGCTGCAAATGGGGTCTGGGCCAACAATTCATATATATATATATATTAGTTTATTTTTACATCATTTTGTGCCTTTTTCCATCTCAATTGCAATCCCCGTGGGCTTCCCATCACCAAATCACCATAGTTCAGTGCATTTCTCTCCCCTCACTGTTTTTGATCCCATTCCCCACCCCACCCCCATACAGTGTCTCTGGTCTATAGCTGTTCATTATTATTATTATTATTTTCTCACCTGGTCCATTATATTCCTGCTATGAGAGAAATCATCCAGTACTTTCCTTTTCTTTCTGGCTTATTACACTAAGCGTGATCCCTTCCAGCTCCATCCATGTGGCTGCAAAAGGCATGTGCTTATTTTTTTTGGTAATATTCCATTACCATTGCTGAGTAATATTCCATTGTGTATATGTACCACATCTTCAACAATTCTTTTTTTAAATTAAATAATTTGTCTACTTACACCATTGCTTGTTTTTGGACAGTATTTGGTTCTCCCCTCAGGTGTGCTCCTGTAGTTCTCTCCCACCACAGCACCCAGGATCCATCACTGAAGCCCCTGTGCGCCCCCTCCCCCATCTCAATCCCCCTCCCATGTTGTGTGCCTCAGACCTATGGTCAGCTTGCAAGTTTTACTTGACCTTTTGTTCAGTTCCTCTATATTCCACATATAAGTGAAGCCATCTGCTAATTATTTTTTCCTTTTGATTTATTTTGCTTAGCGTAATCCCTTCAGCTCCATCCATGTTGCCACAAGTGGCATTTGGTTGTCTTTTTTGAACACTGAGTAATATTCCATTGTGTAAATATACCACAACTTTTTGATCCATTCGTTTGTTTTGGGGTGTTTGGGTTGTTTCCGTATCTTCGCTATTGTGAATAGTGCTGCAGTAGGCACAGGAGTGCAGGCTTCCCTTCCAATTAGCTTTTTGTGTTCTTTGGGTGATTCCAAGGCGTGGCATCACTGGATCATATGGCCAATCCATTTTCAGTGTTCTGAGCAGCTGCCACATAGCTTCCCATAGTGGTTTTCTCCACATCCTAGCCAGCATTTGTTATTTCTAGTTTTTTTGTTTTTTGTTTTAAGATTTATTTACTTATGCATACAGAACTAGGGTACAGGCCAGAGGCTCAGGGGCCGTGAGAGGATTCACCAGAGACAGAGTGGGGAGCAGAACAGGCAGATCGATGAAGCACACTGCTGAGGGGAGCAGCGGGCCAGTTAGGAGAGGGTTGCTGCGCCATGTGGGTCAGTTCCTGGGTGGGGATCGAACTCATGCGGAAGTGGCTTTAGCTTCTTAGTGCTGTGCTTTAACCCGCTGCGCCACCAGGGAGGGCCCTGTTTCCAGTTTTTTTAATGTGGGCCATTCTCACTAGTGTGAGGTAGCATCTTCTTATGGCTTTCATTTTCCTGCAAATTAGTGATGTTGAACACTTTTTCATATGCCTGTTGTGCTCCAACAACTCTTAAATGCTCAATGATGAGATGCAATAAGACACCAGCACTGGTCATTGGTCAGCTATTGTTGACCGAGCCTCCCTCTGGAGCAGAGGCAGTCGGAAGGGGCCCTGCCTCAGGTGCCTTCACCGCACCTCCTGGAGAAAGGCCGGAGGGACTCCTGGGGCCTCTTTATCTCTCTTCCTGCCACGAGCCACACAGTGCCTGGGCTTGTGGTGCAAGTTTGCAGCCCAGGGAACTCAGCAAGAGGCAGATGGAAGCTCTCCCCTCTCCAAGGATGCTGCCCAGGTCCCAGTCCTCTCCTTGCCCTCCCAGATCTTCCTGCCCCACAGGTTTCCAGAAAGCCAGGACAAAGGACAGCACTGAGTGGTGGGAAAGTGCAGCAAAATGCAAGTCATAGTGAGGTAGGCACTGGCAGCCTCCAGTCTGACTCACCCCCGGACCCAGCTACAGAGTCCCTAAGGGGAGCCCCACCTCCGGAAGGTGGGCGCTGGCTGAGCAGGCCAAGGCACACTGTCCTTGGCTGTGCTGCTCCAAGTGGGGAGCCACACCTGTACTACAGCAAAGGCATGGATGAGTGGACCTCACAGGGAAGCAGAACTTTACAGCTCTGAAAATGCCAACAGTATTTCGGTCTTGTGTCTGCAAATAATCACACAGCTCTAATTTAACAAGCGTGCACAGAT